ATCAGGCTGGTGGTGTTGTTGCTCCAGCTGAGGTTGTCATTCATGTGTACACCCAAGTACTTGTAGCTGGAGACCACTTCCACCGCAGATCCTCTTATGTTCAGGGGGGTGTAGGTGTTTCCGTTCCTTCCGAAGTCCACAATCATCTCCTTTGTCTTCTTCACATTGATGTGAAGGTTATTCTCTCTGCACCAGCTCTCCAGGTGTTCCACCTCTTGCCCGCAGCTGGACCCATCATTGTTTAAGTTGTGTGAATTATCTGTGACAGCCACCCTGAACTGGACTGACTCCCACAATTTAATAACCTGTAGCTGTACATCCAGTGATTATGTTCTTAATTTGTTTTAAGTTAAAAGCTATTCTCTGGTTTGCGAGATGCTTTGCTAATGGTACAGACAAACAAGCCTACACACATACACAGATAATGTCGTTTGCCCACCTTTCATGTTGGTGGGTGATAATAAACTCATGGGACCTGTCTGTGTCCAGTATATCTGACTTGTCTCTGACTTGTTTATCCTCAGATTACCCATGGAGGTGGAACACCCAGGTGCTGATGAACTCCGCTCTCATCAAATGGATCTATCTGCCTGACTTCTACACTGTGCCCAACTCCAAAAACCTCATGGGTCAGTTTCTGTGGAAACGTTCGTGTTTGTGCAGCTGACATTTAATTTCTTGACCTTCCTAGTCTTACTTTATTTACATTTACATTTAAGAAACATTTCACTTCACCACTTGCTCTTGTCAAGGGCGGATGCTTTCCCTCTCCTCTCCCTCCTCCGCTTTGCTTTCACTCTGTCCTGTCTGTGAAACTGCTTCAGAGCCTCTACATATCTTCCGAACCATAATTTTTACTATGGATCTGGTCATTTGGTCTCTCAACGCAATTGATAAAATTTTCTCAACGAGAAGACAAGCTTCAGGCGAGCCAACTTGCCCCGATGACACGCACGCAGCTGGATATGTCATGGATTCCTGGGGTGATTGGAAGGAGATGTGTCTATCTCTGCTGTCCATCAATGATGTTGAAGACGCATATATAATTGGATTTATGATAACAGGTTTCCTGCTTTTTGGAATCATCTGGTTCCTGGTTTATCAACAAACAAGGAAGTTGTTGGCAGCAAATTTGGCCATCAGGCTGCTTGCCTTATGTGATGGTGCTCCGTGCCTCGAGCACCCAGACTCAATTGCTTTGCGAACTGAACCGTAAATTGGATGTGATTTGTGAGAATTGCAGGACACTTGCAGCCCCCAGAATTCACTGGCAGGATGGATCAGATCTCGGGGAATACTCTCAGGCATAGACCAGCGGTGTGTCCACTTAATTTGGATGTTTGGGATTTGTGAGGACCAGCAAAGACTCAAGGCAGACATGAGTCAGTAAAGTTCTGCCTGTTCCCAAAACAAATGTTGCTGATCTGAATTCGGTTCCCCGGCTGACCTTGACTGGCCACCTTATCTCAGTTCACCTGGAGGCTCTGTAAATTTAATGCCCTGCCGCCTCCCTTCTACCACAGAGGAAGTCTGAGGACCTATCAGAGGGACCCGGCTGAATAAAAATTGTCATCATTTCTTGGATTCTCTCTGACGCTGTCCTAGGTCGACCTCGGCATCTCACAAGAGTGTTTATGGATCTTACCAGAGGGAACTGACTGATTGTACCATTCTTATCAGAACTCCTGCAGTGCCTCTGGAGTGTCCTTAGACAGGCTCACTGCTCTTGTCATCTTCCCTCCCCTACAGAATGTCTGCGTCACTATGTGCCTATGTACGGGGTGTTTTTTTCAATCTCAGGCCATCTCTCTTCAGTCAAGGAGAAAGAGTTTGATAGGATTTTTTTTTTTTGCCTCCAAATCCTAGAGATGCATCACTTTCATTACTTTTTGTCCATCTAAACAGGTCTCACTTGTAAATGAGTCTTCAAGGCTCAGTGTGATTTATCTGTTTAAATAAAGTCGAATGAATTTCACTCTGCTCGTGATTTTAAATTCACTTCAATTCAATTCAGTTTATTTATATAGCGCCAAGTCACAACAGAAGTCATCTCAGGCATCTTGATTACTCTGAATGATTTTTACTTTATTTTTGCTCATTATAGATCAATTTTATTGTCTGTATTTCCTTTGTAATGAGTCAGTTTTGGTCTGTGATGTTCTTTCACAGCAAATACAACCACCAGCGCTTTTTATGTGTCAACATTTACACTGTTTTCCAGTTTATTAGCTTTTAATTTTTTTCATATGCTATTTGCAATCTTTTGCATAATGAATGCTGTTTTAGTCAGTTATAATCAAAATGTTTTGTTCATTCAGGAGATGGGGTAATGACTTTTGTATTTTGTAACTTTTGTACTTAGAAAATATTTACATTTCTGTTTTTTTGTTTGTTTGTTTGTTTATTTGTTAGCTAGCATTCTGCTACTTTAGTTTTTAGCAGGTTTCTTGATATGATAGAAAGGCGATATATAAGTACAGTCCATTGACCATTTTGCTTTTTTTGCCTTTAGCTGGGGTTTTGTTCCTTTTTTTTTTTGCTTTTAGCTAGCATTTTGCGCCTGTATTATTATTTTTAGTTGTTATGGGGAATGGTGGCACAGAGGTTAGAGAAGGTGGGTCTGTGATCAGAAGGTCACTGGTTCATCTCCCTGGACCGACAACATCAAAATGTGGGTGGGAAATGTGAAGCATCCACCACTGTCTCCACCCTCATTTGCCCCACTTTGGGTCCTTGAGCAAGGCCCTTAACTCCCACCATCTGCTCCCCCAGGTGCCCCATATAGCAGCTCTTTGCTCCACACAGAGGGCTGTGGTAGCTCGGTGGTCTGTGGTTGTGTCAGGAAGGGCATGTTTTAGCTTTTAGCATGTGTTTTGCGCTTTTAACTTCATTCATCCATCCATTTTCTTTACCCACTTATTCCATTTTGGGTCACGGGGGTCGCCGGTGCCCATGTCCAGCAATCACTGTGCGAGGGGCGGGGTACACCCTGGACAGGTCGCAAGTCCATTACAGGGACACATGGAGACAAACGAGACAAACAACTATTCACTCTCTCACTCACACCTAGGGACAATTTACAGTTACCAATCAGTCTAACATACATGTTTTTGGTCTGTGGGAGGAAACCGGAGTACCTGGAGAAAACCCACGCATGCACGGAGAGAACATGCAAACTCCACCCAGAAAGGCCCCTGGACCGGGGTTTGAACCAAGGACCTGCTCGCTGAGAGGCAGCAGCTCTACCAGTTGCGCCACCGTGCTGCCTCGCTTTTAACATTACTTTGAATCTTTTAGCTTTTATAATTTTATTTAAACTTCATCAGATTTTAGCAAATTCATTCATGACTCAGCGTTCACGCTGCATTGTCCCAGAAAAGTTTTTCCAGGTTAATTTGACCATTCAGAAGTTTCCCTTCGTTATCTCTCATCCCATAATATCCTGTCAGAGTAGGAACTCTCAGGGCAGAATCGGGTGTTTCAAGCTGACAAAGATGCAGTTGATGATGAGGATCTGTTTTTGTCCACAGCGGACTTTGTGCTGCTGATGTGTGCGTCCCAACAGTGGAAGGTGTTTGAGTGTGAACGGGTCGAGGAGTGGATGGTCCTAGCAGGAGAGAACACAGACGAGCCCGATCCGATGGAGGGTCGACTCTTTAACCCGGCGCCGAACTTCATCAACTGCAGGTGAAGCTGAAATCACTTTTTCTAGTGTCACGCCTACCATTTGGTACAAGGGGAGTTCACAAGTCTCAAATAATAGTTTTTTGGTACCACTTTACAATAAGGCTCCCCTTATACGTGGCTAATAAATTGTTTACATTATTAATGCCTCTGTAAGCACTTTATAAATCATTAATAACTGCTTATTATACATTAATTAAGGGTGACGGAGACTAAACTGACCAGTTTCTTGCCAAATAGTGAGTCAAATCTGTTCACCTATATATTTCATTTAGAGTTGTTATATTAAACATTTCAGACTTAATTTACTACC